AACCCAGTAGTACTTCTCCACCTCAACCATCCGATTTTGATTCTACATTCCATTCTCCTAGAATAAAAATGGCATCCCGGTGCACAAAGCATCCCGCATTCACGCAGGATCCGGGGAAGGGCCGCACCCTAAGAGGGTGTGATGTAGGCAGCCTACTCTGATGCTAGCATCAATGACTGATTCCAAGACCCGAACTCGTGACCTATAGGTCCATTCTCCTAGAATAACGAGCCAAAATATCTGAAATCTAAATTGGTTGCATTTAGGAACTGCAATCCTATCTGATTTTACCTCAATTTTACTCTTTTTATATTGACTAATTTTTAGTGCATATATTCAGTCTTACTCCTACTTATCCTCGATGATTTTATCAATTAGCATAAAATTCGTCTGCAATTAGCATTAACCATGGGATCTCATCTTGTATTGTGTTGTAATTACAAGTGCGGGCTTAATGTTGATCCCTGGTGCAAATGGACGACTATGGGAAACTCCTTTATGTCTCCTACTATTGTTCTCACGCTAGTGATGGCTCCTTCGTACATGTCCTCTACGACATTTATATATTCAATATGAATTCATTTCTTCTCTCACGCCCACCAAAGGACCTTTCTTGGTACTCTATTATATGTCTTTTCTAGGTCAATAAACACAATGTGCAAAATGCAAATCTTTCTTCCTCTCGCATAAACTTCCATCAATCTCCTTAACAAAATGCAGACTACTTTGTATCGCTCATTCCATACTTTCATCTTATGGCTCATAAGTTTAATGACACAATAGTTAAGCACAACTTTGAATGTCACCTTCATTTTTTATAACCTGGAATTAGGGTACTCGTTTTCCAATCATCGGGCATCCACCACTTCTAAGTTTAGAATTAAGTATCCTGGTATGCCATCCTACTCCAATCACTACAAGACACTTCCAGACCTCTATGAGGATTCTATCTAAACCACAAGCTTTACTAATCCTTGTATTTTTCATGACATCCTTTACCTCTGCCGACCTAATTCTACTGAGTAAAGCTAAAGTTTCTATCATGCACACAAATTATTAAGTACTTTATAAAATTTTACCGCTAATATACAGAAATTGAAAAGAGAAAACTGAGAAAGAGTAATTACTTTGTTGCGGACAAGAGGGGCGGACGAGGAAAGTGAAGCAATGGAGAGAGGAAGAAGCTTGGTGAGCAAGTCTTGTAGTTTTGAGTCATCGCAAAGTGCGAGCCTTGTGAGCATTCGATCAAGGAGTTCCTCAATCTCAGCATCCGATTTTCCAGTGAGCATAGATGACCAAGACGACGTCGTTGTAGAAGAGGAAGAAGAGTCCGCCATTTTTCTTTCGTTTTTTCTTGTGAAGATCGGTTGATGTAGGTATTGTACCTGGACTTTATGAGACTCCCCTAAGATATTGGATAGCTAATTAAGTTTTTCCACTTTGGTGCAAAAGAAGAAATTCCCTTGCATTATATTATCTTAGGTTGTTTGGTTGCGAAATAAGATATCTCAAAATTAATTATCTCGGGATTAATTATTTCGAGATTATTATATCACCCTCTTATAAGAATAAAAATAAAGCTACAATCACATGATAACTAATCCCAATATTTGTTATACCGCTTCATCTCAAATTTAATCTCATGATTAAATATTCCTTATCCCTCGTATCAACGAGAACTTAATCTTTCTTTCTTTTTTTTAATGGTATAATCTTAGTCTTTATTTTAATTTTCAAGTGGTTAACTATTCACTCTCATTCTTTTCAATAATAAAAATAAAAAAATAAAAAAAGAGAAAACATTTCGAAGTGCAATTTAGAAGTTGAGACATGTGTCACTAATTATTTTCGCCCCTCATACTTATCAACTCACATAAATTGTTTGAACATATACCAAGATGTGCTAATGGGTATGAAAAATAATAGTACATATTAGGGGTGGCAAAACGGACGGGCGGGTCGGATATGGGACGGGTCGAAGACATGTAATGAAACAACGGACAAATTATTCGACCCGACTAATATTTAATACGGATAAAAAACAGGTTAACCGACGGATAATATGGATAACCATATTATCCATGGATTCGTGAATATGATCACTTTTGGGAGAATTTCTATTTTTCCAAACTTGAGGAACTCCCAATTTAAGGTTTACAAATGTAAAAGTTAAACTCATTAGTTATTCATTGGTTAACATTTTCTAAATGGATAATATGGTTCTTATCCATATTTGATCCGTTTTTAAAAAGTTAGTTATCCAACCCTTTTTTAGTAGATAATATGGGTGATTAACTATTTTCTTTTAACCATTTTGCCACCCTAGTGTATATATTTAGATTTTAGCATTTGTGGAGGTCTAGCTTCACTCGTTAAGGGTCCATTTCTAACTTCGTCGACTGGAAAAATAATTTATATTCTAATTTCAACATTCGTTTTCTATGTAAGTATGTTATTAATTTCGAAGAGATATATTAATGATGAAAAAAAAAATTACACGAACTCCAAAACCTAATTAAGGATTAGTCAAGTCCTTTCGTGTACAAAAAATATCTGAGAGAAGTCGGATAGAGGAGGCAAATCATATAAACAAGAAATGAAATAATAAAATAATATATTTACTTATATCGTATATTCTAAGTTACAGTTAAAAGATATTGAACGCTAAAAAATCTAACATACCGTGGATAAAGAAGAGTGTGTAATGAGCGAAAATATCGAATGTTAGTTTGGTGTACAGTAGTATTGACTTAATTTATATGTAGACAGTCTAAGTATTTAAATAAGAAGGGAAATAAACAATAATGTCAGCCCATACGTATGTTAGTATAAAATTAGTCATTTCATAAAATATTAGCCAATTAACTATTCGTGGCAAAATAATACATAAAAAAACTTTCTTTTAAGTGGGTATTGCGGGAATAGATTGGATATCTTTTAAGGAGCTTAAATCTCAATCTGGGATGATTTGGTAGAGTTTTGAGGTGGTTTGAATTGAAAATTCGAAGTAGAAGGTGAACATGAAAAAAATGATATGTGTATCACACTGTGTATCAATTGTGCATCACATACGTATCATATTTGTATCAAATATGTATCACATGTATATCCACGTATATTTGTGTGTGAGATACATGCATGATACATGTTAGATACATGTGTCGTAGAAGAATTTTTTGTACTCGATTTTAACTACGATTTTTATACCAAATTAGTCCAAATCACTTTCAATCTTCCTCAAATTTTGTATATTGACCCGTCCATGTGTTTTCGATTAATTTCAACCATACCCATTTAAAAAGTATCCTTTTTGCTTAGATTTTTTGAATTTCAGCACCTTGTTTGGTACCTCATCCATGAAAATTCCTTTCCGTCTTGCATCTAATCTTGTTAATCACGCTTAAAAATTATGGAAGGAGATCTTTGCGTGTGATTTTTGGAGAGAAAGAATCTTATTTATTTGGGTTTTCAAAATTTTTATGTGCTTGGCTAGTTTTGATAAGTATATAATTAATGACTAGAGGGTGATAAGTTAGGACTTGTTTGGGACACTTCCGTAAGATTTCCTTTAAATAAGAATGGTTTAGACGATGAACCCTTTCTCTCTCAGCGCATGAGACTAACGTGTGCACACCATGGGAAAGAGGGCTAGGGTTCCATCTCAGAAGGCACTGATGGCGCAGGCTTCTTCGTCACAAAGAGTAATACAGCTAGGAAGGAAAACCAATCCTATTCAAGCTGCAATTGAAGAAACTGAAGACTCAATTCAGGATGACTTTCATCAAATTGACGAAGTAATTGCGGAAGCTAAGGACTCCACCAAAGCGGCAGCTACAACAGAGTAGACTAACATAGTCCAAACTTAGTGGAAAGTTATCATGGGCTGAGGAAGTCGAAGCGACTGAAACATCGGTGAAACGAGCATCAATTTGGGACAATTTTGATATCGCTAAGATTTCCAATGCCTGGTTCAAATTGGAGTACGTCAAGCCAGAAACGTATGGTGAGTCCCCTGTTTGTGCTATTGATGTTGAGGATATCAGTTCGAAATTAGATTATTGGAGAACTGATGTGGTCTGCTATGTGCCTGGGGCACACCCCCCATTTGTAGTGTTAAATGGGTTCATCCAGAGATTGTGGGCGAAGCATGGGATAAACAAAATTGCGATGTTGAAGAATGGAATTGATCTGGTTAGGTTTGACTCAATAGTAGGAAAGAACGAAGTTGTTCAAGGGGGTATCTATCACTTTGACAATAAGCCATTTATTGTCAAAACTTGGAGTCTGGACATGGAATTCGCTAGAGAGGAACTACGCATTGTTCCAATCTGGATCAAATTGCCTGTTTAGACTTCAAGTATTGGAGCCCTAAAGGACTTAGTAAGATAGGGAGTTTGGTGGGAAATCCATTAATGGTGGACCAAAACACAGGGAAGAAGATAGGACTAAATTTCGCTCAACTTTTGGTCGAAGTGGAAATGGATGAAAACTTGCCTGATACAGTCCTATTTAGGAATGAAAAGGGGATAGTTATAGAAAAAAAATACAATATGATTGGAAACCAACCTTATGTAAATTTTGTCATAGGTATGGTCATCTGGAGGAGGTATGCAGGAAGAAGAAAGTCTCAAAACCTGATTCACCAAAGGCACAAGAGGGGCAACCAGCAATAAGGATAGTGAATGAAGGAAACAAGGAAAAACAGGGGGTGGGGGAATCAATTTTTGTTGAGCAGAAGAAAGGGAATGGAAGTAATCCAAAAAAGGGGCTGTCAGAGGGTGCAGAAACATCCAAGGCAATGGGATTAGATCAGATATATTCTAAGCAAGTTGGGAAAACAAATGTAACACAACCAGGCTAGATTACTCCTTTAAAAGTGGGCAGGCAGCCAAGTAGACAAAATCAACAGATGACAAATCAACATCTAGTAGCACAAAACTCATTTCAGGCTTTGGGAAAAGAGGATCATGGCACAAAGAAGCAGCCGAGTATATGTAGTAATGAGGGAGGGCAAGGTTTTCCTCCTACTGCAAATGGTTAGTCTACTTGCTTGGAATGTAAGGGGTATTAATGCCCCTAATAAGCAAAAGGAGGTTAAACTCCTTTGCAATGAACACAATATTGGAATAGTAGGACTTTTGGAAACTAAAGTGAAAGCTAGTAGGTTTGAAAACATAGCTAACAAAATGTTTGGAGGATGGCAGTACACCACTAACTTGGAGCAACATTCGAATGGGAGGATATCGATTATTTGGAGACAAGACTGCTACCAAGTTGTAGTCATCTCAAAAATAGCTCAAGTTGTTACATGTAAGGTAATATACTTGCCCAAGTAGAGTTCTTTCTATGTTACATTTGTTTATGCCTATAACCATAGGTGTGAACGAAGAGGATTATGGGAATATTTGGAGAGCCAAAGGGTGGTTTGCAATAGCCCATGGATGGTTGTAGGGGACTTTAACTCAGTCCTTCATATGGAGGATAGAATAGGGGGAAATCCAGTCTCAATGCCTGAGGTAGTGGATTTCATTACATGTGTAGAAAATTGTGGCTTGATTGAATTATCACAACATGGTAGTAGGTATACTTGGAATGACAAACAAGGTGAACAAAGAGTATTTTCGAAAATAGATTGGGTTTTTGTGAATAGTGAATGGATAGACAACATGCCACCTTACATAGCTACTTTCTTACCAGAGGGGATCAACGACCATTGTCCTGTGAAAATTTCATTGTTGGATGCTCCACCAAAAGCAAAGAAAGCATTCCAGTTCTGTAATGTATGGGTAAACTATCCACAGTTTATAGAGAGAGTGAAAAGTATCTGGGGTACTCACATTGATGGTTGTAGGATGCTGCAAATAGTAAGGAAGCTAAAACTACTAAAGAGTTTGATGGAATTGATGGAACTAAATGGCAAGCATTTTAGGAATATAATCTCAGAAGCTAATGACAACAGAGAAGCCCTAATACAGGTTCAACAAGCTCTTCAAGCTAATCCAATAGATCAGCAATTGCAACAGGAGGAGAAAATGAAATACCTGGAATTTAGAAGGACCTCATATCTGGCTGAGATGTTCTTACAGCAAAAAAGTAAGGCAAATTGGCTTAGACTTGGGGATGACAATACCAAATACTTCTTTGCAGTCATCAAACATAGGAAGTTACAACATGCCATCACACAGCTACAGGATAACCAGAATGTGCTGCAGACAGATTCAATTGCCATTGCAAATATTTTTGTAAATTACTATGAAGACTTATTGGGAACAAGGGAAGTGTCAAGGTGCAAAGCAAATAAGAGAATTTTGAAAAATGGTCCTACACTTTCAGTAGCACACTAGGTGGACCTGCTAAAGAAGTATACAGAGAAGGATGTAAAGACTGCAATGTTTGAGATAGACTGTCACGACCTCAGTTCGTCCTCCGTGAACTGTCGTGACGGCACCTAGTCCCTACGACTAGGTAAGCCTAACAAATGCGGAACATAAACAAAACTTGCGGAAGAAATAATCAAAAGCCAAAATAACCAAATAAAAATAATAGTTATAATGTCGCTCGGCATATACAACACAACATTTCTCAAAATCAAGTACACTATCCCAAAACCCGGAAACTCACGGAACCACAAGCCTTTAGATATCTAATAATGTCTAACTCCAGAATGTCTAACAAGGTAATGAAATACAAAAGGAAAAATGTTTAAAAGCTACAATAGAAAGGGACTCCTCGGTCTGCGGACGCGGCAGATATACCTCGAAGTCTCTACAGAAGCGCCTCGCCTCGAGGATGATGAGACTGTATGAAAGTACCCGGATCTGCACATGAAAAACATGCGCAGAAAGTGCATGAGTACACCACAACGGTACTCAGTAAGTGCCAAGCCTAACCTCGGTCAGGTAGTGACGAGGAAGGTCAGGGCCCTATTGAGGTTAAATAAAATATAAGGGCTAACAGTGTGAAATAAAATAGTATAGATAAGTGCAACAGTAAGAAATAACATAGAATTGAAAGAACAACAACAACTAGAACAGAGACAAACATACCACGGAAGGAAATACAGCTCAACACAGAGATAACAACCGGGGCACCTTCCAGGATACCATCCTGTAGTCCCAATTACAACTATCCAGTGGATCTCCCGGGATACCGTCCCGTAGTCCATCATATATGTGTCCGAAGGATCTCCCGGGACCTCAACCAAAGGCATCAACATATCCTAAAATCTTATTCAAACTTGTACCAATCTTCAAAACACCTCAAATGACATCAAATCAACCAAAACACATCGGATTCAAGCCTAAGTCTCCAAAATCTTCCGAATTCCGCTTTTGATCAAAAACCCAACCAAACTACGCCCGAATGACCTGAAATTTTGCACACACATCCCAAATGACATAACGGAACTACTGTAACTCTCGAAATTCCATTGCGACCCTCGGATCAAAATCTCACTATCGAACCGGAAACTTCAAAAATTCCACTTTCGGCATTTCAAGCCTAAATTAGCTACGGACCTCCAAAATACAATCCGAACACGCTCCTAACCCCGAAATCACCCAACGGAGCTAACGGAACCATCGAATTTCCATTCCAGGCCGTCTTCACACTGTTCCGACTACGGTCAACTTTCAAACACTTAAGCTCTCATTTAGGAACTAAGTGTCCCAAAACTCTCCGAAACTCAAAACCGAACATCCCGGCAAATCAAAATAGCAGAAATAAACTTGGCGAAAGCAGTTAATAGGGGATTGGGGCATTAATTCTTAAGAAACCGTCCGGGTCGTCGCATCCTCCTACACTTAAACATTTGTTCGTCCTCGAACGAGCATAGAGACATACCTAAAGTAGTGAAAAGATGAGGGTAACGGCTGCGCATATCCTGCTCGGTCTCCCAGGTCGCCTCCTCGACCGGCTGACCCGGCCACTGAACCTTTACTGATGCAATGTTCTTTGACCTCGGCTTTCTAACCTGCCTGCCCAATATCGCCACTGGCTCCTCAACATAGGATAGGTCCTTGTCCAACTAGACTGAACTGAAATCCAAGACATGCGACGGATCATCGTGATACCTCCGGAGCATCGAAACATGAAATACCGGATGAACTCCTGCTAAGCTGGGAGGTAAGGCAAGTTCATAAGCAACCTCCCCAACACGCCTCAATATCTCAAAAGGGCCAATAAACCTTGGACTCAACTTCCCTTTCTTCCCAAATCTCATGACGCCCTTCATAGGCGAAACCCGAAGCAGAACCCGCTCTCCAACCATATAGGAAACATCACGAACCTTCCGGTCCGCGTAACTCTTCTGTCTGGACTGGGCTGTACGGAGTCTATCCTGAATCACCTTAACCTTCTCCAAAGCATCCTGAACCAAATCTGTGCCCAATAGTCTAGCCTCACCCGGCCTCTGGTGCTCATACTTCACCTGCTGATAGTTGAGACACCGAGCTACGAATCCAACTATATCTTTTTTCATCCGCCTCTACCAATAGTGCTGCCTCAAATCCTAATACATCTTCGCGGCGCCCGGATGGATGGAATAGCGCGAACTATGGCCCTCCTCTAGAATCAACTCTCGCAGCCCATTAACATTGGGTACACAAATCCGACCCTGCATCCTCAATACTCCATCATCACCAATAGTCACATCTCTGGCATCGTTGTGCTGAACCATGCCCTTGAGGACAAGCAAATGAGGGTCGTCATACTGCCGCTCCCTGATACGATCAATAGGGAAGACCGAGAAACCACGCAAGCTAGAACCCAACTGGGCTCCGAAAGATCAAATCTCACAAATTGGCTAGCTAAGGCCAAAACATCCATCGCCATAGGCCTCTCCGATACTGGTAAATATGCCAAACTCCCCAAACTCTCCGCCCGGCAACTCAAGGCGTCGGCTACTACATTGGCCTTGCCCGGGTGATACAAAATAGTGATATCATAGTCCTTCAGCAACTCTAACCACCTTCTCTGGCGCAAATTTAGATCCTTTTGCTTGAAAAAGTGCTGCAAGCTCCGATGGTCAGTATAAATCTCACAGGGAACCCCGTATAAATAATGGCGCCAAATCTTCAGGGCTTGAACAATGGCAGCTAACTCAAGGTCGTGAACAGGGTAATTCTTCTCATGTATCTTCAACTGTTTGGATGCGTAGGCAATCACCCTACCATCCTGCATCAACACCGCTCCGAGGCCAATCCTCGAGGCATCACAATAGACCGTATATGACCCCGAACCTGTAGGCAATATCAAAACTGGGGTTGTAGTCAAAGCTGTCTTGAGCTTCTGAAAGCTCGCCTCACACTCCTCCGTCCACTGAAATGGAGCACCCTTCTGGGCCAACCTAGTCATAGGGGCTGCAATCGATGAAAACCCCTTCACAAAATGACGATAGTAGCCCGCCAAGCCAAGGAAACTGCGGATCTCTATAGCTGAGGATGGTCTGGGCCAACTCTGCATGACCTCTATCTTCTTCGGATCCACCTGAATACCCTCACTCGATACTACGTGGCCTAAGAATGTCACTGAATCCAACCAAAACTCACATTTCGAGAACTTAGCATATAACTTCTTCCCTTTCAGAGTCTGAAGCACAGTCCTCAGGTGCTGCTCATGATCTTCCCGACTCCGGGAATATACCAAAATATCATCAATAAAGACAATGACGAACGAGTCAAGATACGGCTGGAACACACTATGCATCAAACGCATAAAGGTTGCTGGGGCATTGGTCAGCCCAAATGACATAACAAAGAACTCGTAATGACCATACCGAGTCCTGAAAGAAGTCTTCAAGATATCTGGCTCCCGAATCTTCAACTGATGGTAACCTGAGCGCAAATCAATCTTAGAGAACACCCGTGCGCCCTGAAGCTGGTCAAACAGATCATCAATACGAGGCAAAGGATAACGATTCTTCACTGTAACCTTGTTCAACTGGCGATAATCAATACACACACGCATAGAACCATCCTTTTTCTTCACAAACAAGACAGGAGCACCCGAAGGTGATACACTGGGCCGAATAAAACCCTTATCAAGCAATTCCTGTAACTGATCCTTCAACTCCTTCAACTCAGGAGGAGCCATACGATATGGAAGAATGGAAATGGGCTGAGTGCCCGGCAACAAATCAATGCCAAAATCAATATCTCTATCAGGCGGCATGCCTGGAAGATCAGCTGGAAACACATCGGAAAAGTCCCGTACTACTGGAACTGAATCAACTGAAGGGGTATCAATACTAACATCTCTCACATAGGCTAGATACGCGTCACACCCCTTCTCAACCATACGCTGAGCTTTATGGAAAGAAATAACTCTACTGGGAGTGTGATCTAAAGCACCCCTCCACTTAACACGTGGTACACCTGGCATAGCCAGTGCCATAGTCTTGGCGCGACAGTCAAGAATAGCATAATGGGGCGACAACCAGTCCATGCCCAAGATAATATCAAAGTCTACCATGCTGAGCAACAATAAATCGGCTCTGGTCTCAAAACCACTAAGAGCAACCAAACACGACCGATAAAAGCGGTCCATAACAAGAGAATCTCCCACAGGAGTAGAAACATAAACAGGGGAACTCAACGAATCCCGAGGTACACCCAAATGCGGAGCAAACTAAGAAAACACATAAGAATAAGTGGAGCCTGGATCGAATAGAACCGATGTACCTCTGTGGCAACCAGTACAGTACCTGTGATGACAGAATCGGAGGCAACAACCTCGGTTGTCGCGCCCCCTTTTTTTCCTCCTCGCATCAGGAGAATTGGGTTAATGACATTTTTGGGTATAAGACAACTCATTCCTTTTGGGAATTGGGTTTTTTTTTGAAGAGCCGCCACCTAATGATTTATGGTGCATTAGGACACCTAAAAGGTTCACTTCTAAGTTCGTTTGATAACCAGAGATAGGGTAAGGGCTTGAAATTATCCTAAAGGGAAGGTGTTAGGCACCCCTTAAGATCCACTAGTGTGGTTCCCGGCCAGATAGTTTTTTGTGAATTTGGTTCAATTGACATATAAGCAAATAAGGCTCAAATAAGAGGGGATTTTAATAAACAACCGTTTGAAAGCAAACAAAGTATGAAAGAGCAATTAAGGTTGAGTTTAAACAAGGAATTGCAATACTTTTAAAAGAAAGGGAAGATAAAGCAAGGGGGTCCTAGGTTTATTAAAAATATGGATCACATCAATACAATACCCGGTAATCACTCCTCAAAAGAGGGGCTACACGTGGTATTAGCGCACCAGTCATCATATCCATATCTACCCTTTCCCACCCCGTTTAAGGTACTAAAGCGCGGATTGGTCTCGAACACTATTGCATGCTATTACCC